AAATGGAAATAAAGTCTTTGTAAATAGGGAAGGGTGGAGGGCGTGCAGGGAGGGCTAGGAATGGGGAAAAATTAAGAACCAAGATGCATTACGTAAAGGTACAATTCCCAATGAGAAATGTAATTGTGTTGTATACCTACAATGTACCAATAAAAGAATTTAATACAAAAAAAAGAAAAAAATCACCTTGTAGAATAATGCATATGTAAAAGAAAATTTAAAATACAGTGAAATTCTGGAAAAAGGTACACCTCAAATTGTTCACAGTGGCTAGTTCTGGGTAAGAAGCAGTTTGATGAGAAGGTGGGGCTGTTCAGAGGGATTTCTCACCTTCATTTGGGATTGTTGTGCTTTAAACAATCATGTCTATGTAACACATTGTAATCTTTAAAGATAATTAAGAAAAATTAAAAAGTTAAATTTCTGGATTTATTCTTGGCAGCTATTAAATTGATACACTTTGTTCCAGTAGAATGTTCCCTTTTCCCTGATTAAGAGCTGCGGTGTTGTCTTTTTAAGCACCACTTAAATCTCACCACACAGTGAAAAGAAGTGATTGTAATGAACAAAATTTCATAGCTGTCTTAGATTGAACTGCCTGGAAGCAGAGTCTGAGGCAAGGGTTCTGATATGAGTGACTTGTTGAGGGAGTGTTCTCGGGAAAACCTATAAGGGAGTGATGGAAGCCTGACAGGACAGGAGAAGATGTCAGGCAAAAGTGTGCTTCTGAAGAGCTCTAACTAGAGACTGATCCCATCAGGAGCTCTTAAGTGTGCAATGCATCCCAGTTTGTCCCACATAGGGGCAGGGAGGTGGGGGACTGGGTGCTTCATTCAGTTCCTTCAGTTGTTGTCTATGACCCCAGGAGGTGCAACCCAGTGCTCCCCAACTGCAAGGGCAGAGACCTGTGGGACCCTTGGCACCGGCAGCAGCTGGTAGATGAGTGCCCCAGGAGATGAGGAACTTGCACACAGTACTGATAGCATTTGCCACAGTAACTGTTTAGGGTTCATTAATTGATTAATGTGTTTTTATTTTGTCCAACTATCTGACTTCTTCTCCTTCTTGTTGGAAAACTACACACATTTACATAAGAAAGATCCAGGTAAGCAAAAAGTTTAGTCTTTTGCAAAGTAGTCATTAAATACTGAACGCCCTCATCAAGAAGTGTAAATCCCAAAGATGGAAGCACACTAAGAAATTTAAAAGATGCCCATCTTTATTGTTTGTGTGACACCCAACAACTGCTGAAATCAATTCAACTGGCTTTTCCCTGTCTGTGTGGTGCCTGCTACGTTGACATATAATGTTTTACTTTTGAAACAACTGAATTAGATTTCGTTCAACATCCATTTGTTGAATATCTTTTCTTGAACCACCGTCTGTTGATGCATAATAGTAGCTCAGTAAAGATCTTATTTTTCAGCCACAAAACTGTTAGTGCTGAGAAATGAATATATCTTGAATATATACATCACCCAGTGGATCTGGGTGAAAATAGCAGATTAAGAGCATTTGGACCCAACATGTTTCTATTTTCTTCTCTCCCCATCCTCTTTCTCTCTCTCCTGTCTGTATGTCTGTCTGCTATGGTTTGAATATGTCCCCCAAAGTTCTTGTGTTAGAAACTTAAATCCCAATGCAACAGTGTTGAGGGGTGGGACCTTTAGGAGGTAATTAGTGAAAAGGGGCCCTGCTTTCCTGAACAGTTTAGTGCCATTATCATCAAAATGGGTTCATTATCTTGAGACTGGTGTCCTTTTAAAGTATAAATTCAATCTCCGCCTTCTTTATTGCACATGCTCTCTCTCCATGTGATGTCTTCAGCCATATTATGATTTATAAATTAGCAAGGAGACCCTCACCAGACACATCCCCTTGATCTTGGACTTTACAGCCTCCAGAACCCTTAGCCAAATCAATCTGTGTTCATCCTAAATTATCCAGTCTGTGGTGTTCAGTTACAACAGCATAAAAAGGGCAGTCTATTTCTATCATCTATCCTCTATCAAGTCATTCTGAATCAGAGACAGGCAATATAGGTGTGGTTCAAAAATTATTTTAAACTTATAATTATTTACAAGGCATGTATTTCTCCTGAAAATTAAGATCTGCCTCTTATCTCCAAGATTGGTGTAATATCTAAAAACTCATTTTTTTCTTTAATTTGGGCTATTTTTAACTGTAATTAAAATGTATATGATATCTAAGAGCATATTTAAATAATCTGGCCAACATGCTTCATAGTGGTGAAAGAATGATGTTTTAATGGCATGATTTGAGAAAGTACACATGTGTGAAACTAATTAGAGCATTTAATGGTCCGCACAAGCTTCCTGAATGGTGGAATAGCCAAACCTGAGGAGTGGGGAGTGGGTGGAAGTGGGTACTTTGGTCAATTTCTTCCTTTTAGATAATTGCAGTCTCAAGATAGTTGTTTGCACTTTGTGTTTTTGGCAAAAATGTTTTTGAGAGGAAATATAATGATGAAATAGGACTCTTTCTGCTAATGACCCAATACAATTCCATCTAGCCTCATTTCATCAGTCACTTATGGCATTTCAGAGCCACAGATAGATATTTATTCAGACTCTATTTTTAAAAATCTGCATTAAAATTATTTTGCAAGTGATTTAAAAATATAACAAAATATTTTTATCAGAGAAGGGAATAGTGATTTTTTTTATTAAATTCTTTTATTGGTACATTGTAGGTATACAACACAATTACATTTCTCATTGGGAATTGTACCTTTACATAATGC